GTTTTATAGCTAGCTTAACCTCTCACTTGTATGACAGTCGCATAAAATTCCATTATCTTGACAACAATGTGTGAACAAAACAAATAGATATAAAAGGAAAACAATGTCAAAAATAAAAGTACCGCGTTCAACTTTGTGTTATAATCTTAATCACTATAAAAAGGGGGCACATAGACAAAGCACGTTAGCAAAAACGAAAGACAAGAATTTAAAAATTGACCATAACACAATTACACGATGACGGGATGTATAAGTACCGAGCCCCGTCAAATCATATTACCAAACACATACTAAACAGTAAAAGAATTAATTTACAAAGACAAATTAAGATGACAAACAACGTCAGTACCTTAAATCTATATTCCATGACCATCGTGTATTACTTGTGAAGTTGATACGGAATACTTATTAACAAGGTCTTGATATCTTCCGATGAACTTTTGTTTAAAAGTCTTTTATATAACCCTGGTTCATCGGTTTTCTGCTCAGACACTAGTAACATTTTACAAAGTCTGAGTAGCAGCTGCAAGCTCTTGAATACCGAATGACTTGGGAAATGTATACCCCATATGCAGGTGAAGTTGGTATATTGCTAATTAGGTAGGGGGAAATTGATAATTTCAAAATCAAAATTGTAAAGTTTGTTATAGATTCTGCTACCGAGATGACCACTTACGTCAAGTTTGAGGTATAAGTCTAAAAATGGGGCACAGAAATCCGTGTCTGTTGTTTCTTTGATTTCTAGTTCTGGAGGATATATTAATGGAACCCAATCAGAAAAGTTTGGATTGTTAATGGAAAGAACTGTATCAATAAATGTGAATGTGAAATTAAATAGTCTGGCTTCTTTGATTTTTTTGTTTTTGAGAAGTGTCTAAAAACTCCGACTCTTAAGAAAAATAAGAAGAGGTTGGCAAAGAGAGGCGCATAGTTTGTTCCCATAGGAATGCCAACAAGTTGTTGAAAAAGTCTATCACCAAAATCAACTAATATGCTGTCAATAAGAAACTCCAGCATACTAATCACCTGTTCCTCTGTGTAGCATGCTTTACCTTCAAGTTAAAAAAATATGTTGTATTGTATCCCAAAGTAATAAATTTATAGCGTATGCTACCGTTTTTATGTTGAAAAGCATCGTGGATTATTTCTTTTAGGCGATTTTTCAATTTCAAATGGGGAATGGTGGTATACAGGGTTAAAAAATTATGAGTTTTGATGTAACTTATTTCAGAGAAAGAATGATTTTTGAAATTATCAAGAAGTTCTTTAGAGTGTTTTAGAATCCACATTTGGTTAATACCACTTCACGAAAAAAACACTTTCACAATATTTCTGAAGACCCTTTTACTGCGGACAGCATTTCTGTCAGTCTAATGTACAATTTTTTCGTCGAACATGCAGATGAGACGGCAATGTACCGTTGTTTGTACGGAATTTTGCGAAGCTAAGATATCCAATACAAACAAGATAATTCCTCCGATTTGCTTTCAATGTAATGTTCATTGCCACCATGAAGGACTTCTGATTCGTCAAAATCTCATCCTTGTCAAATGATATGTTTTTGTATGTGGGAATACCTGAGTGCTCATGTATTCCTAATTCTTTTACAAGACACTCCTAGTAGTACGATTTACATACCATGACAATATTATTTGAAGCTTTGTTCGCAGGAATAACTACATACTTATCGTGAGGAGATGATAGACATTTCACAGCTTTTTTGTCTCTGAAAACGATCATTGTAATTCAGTGGTTGTCGTTTGTCGTATGTTTTACATATTTGTTTTTCGTTCATTATTTTGTACATAAATTAGGCCATTAGATTTCTCGTTTGATTTCTTTTACATTTGTCATATCGGGGCCTTTTATAGCTTACTATGCGGTATGGGCTTTGCTCATTGTGGAAGGCCGTACGGTTGCCTATAGTTGTATAATTTCTGTGTCATTTAGTCTCCTGTGCTGAGTTGTCTCATTGGCAATCATACCACATCTTCTTTGTGATATTTGGTCGATCATTCACACAGTTTTTTAACTTATGAATTCGACGTTTATCAGAGACCTGATTGTTTTTACCCATTCTGACAAAGTATCCAGTCTAACTACTTCTCGTTTAGCCTATGCTCTAGGGTAGTCCTCAATAGACATGTTATACCTAAATGTATAGCAAGACACCGAAATATTGTCTTAGTGAACCATGGATCAGTACTATAGACCGTTCTTAATAAGATTGTAATGAATATTCATATAAATTCGAAATTGAGGCTAAGCTAGGCAATTATTTGTAAACAATATGGCAGCATCAACAACTGATGGAACCTCATCAAAAGATCTTTCACATTTACCAGAGATATTATTTGCTTTTGTGGAGGAGTTTATAAGAAAACACAGCCAGAGAGCTCAGGAAAAGAACAAATGACAAAAGGATTTAAATATTACAGCGAGGAATACGTACATTCTGAGTCAGGTAAGGTCAATCTTTATGTTTGTTTACGAGGTGCACGTGAGAAATATTGTCTTTACACAAACCATTATTTTACCAGCAAATTATACATTTTGACTATTATTTGTGCACCAGAAATCATTATTCACATTCTTATTATTTTAGACTTCAGACTGCTGATTTATTTAGATAATTAACCCCGTATCTAGATCTTAATAATCACTTATAAATCAGCTGAATAAATGTAGAGTAGCAATCATGCATGAACCCTCTTTAAAGAAAGAAAATTATTATTAGTAACGGATAATTAAACTTGTTGACATAGTTATATATGTAAAATTTCATATATGTTATGTATAAAAAGATGTATGTTTTTTTTTCACAGTGCATCCTGACAAAACCGGGTGTTTGGTCAAGGGAAAATGTTCTAGATCACAAAGAAAAAACTAGTCTCCACATGATGTCAAGGTAGGCACACATTTTACTTCACTTGTTGTATGTAAACATGATATATAGATACTAACTTTATTTCCTTCTAATCAAAGATTTTGCAAATAAACAGTTTCATACATATACAATAATAAAGTACTTTACATATAAATCAACACATGAGAATAATATAATTGTTGAATGAGTTAAATAAAGTATGCATTAAACTAATACATGTCAAATTCTTTCACAGATCCTGATAAATGGAGGGCAGATTGAATATTCATTCTGTACATGTACAATTCTAATGCAATCTTTATATAAAACGCTTTTTCGTTGGCTCTTGTCAAGCGTACAATGACAATGTACCCGTCGGAGCCGCTTCACAAAATCCCTTGCGTATGAATCTTGTGACATAAATATTTCGCATAACAATAACAATGGCTACGTCATATGACGATTTTCACATGTCAGATCTGGATGACCTGGATCTTTTGGGACCGTTAATGCCAAATTTTAACTTGAAAGCAGATATACTGGAAGGTTTAGAGTCAACTGATTTAAATGTATCCAAAGAAAATAATAGGGAAGTGTCAGACGCTGATCAACAACCTACGGCAGTGCCAGTGGAATTCACAGCAGACGACGTAAACACAAGTGGTGTTTTTGGTGATGATACAACTGATGGAGTTGCTTGTAGGTTTCGAATGAACAATTTCTAAGCAAATTTTAATCTGCACAGCTTATACCTTGACCCTTTTATACTTCACCATCATTTCTTCCTTGAGCATGTCAATCATTTTTTAACAACCAACATCCCGTAACAATAAACGGGAACCATTCAGGCTTTCTTTGTTTTTGCACTTCATAATTCACTTTCCCTTCAAAATACATGTTCTAAAATTGATCACTGTCAGTTGTGTCAACCTTTTTATTACTTCCTCTGTCAAATTAAATTGATCTATGCCTTTGGGGAAAAAGGGGGGATCTATGTCAAATCAAATTGGGGTTTGCCTTTGGGGGAAAAAGGGGGGAGGTGCTAAAGAGGTTATTCAGGAGATAACGCAAAGTTTCAAATTAAGAGATAACTGTATTGTATTTGAAGCTTTGCGGACGTCCATCGGTAGTTTTACTGTCCCAAATTTAGTTTACCTGGCGACGCGTAGCGGAGACAGGTAAACGGTATTTGCGACAGTAAAACTACCGATGGACGTCCGCAAAGCTTCAAATACAATACAGTTATCTCTATTCTAATGCAAAACAAGTACATAATTCAATTTCAATCATTATTTCAGTGTAAAATTTTCATTAAAGAAAATTCCGCGATAAGATGTTATCTTATTTGGCCCCTAAAGCAGGTGACGTCATAGGTATGCTTCCGGTGTCAAACGTAAACACCAGGCGTTTTCTGGCTTCTTGACCGCTTCAGAATGTAATAAAATTTGATAAAAAAGAAGATTTCTAGGTGCAACATGCGAGTTTTATGCTTATTATTGTAGAAATTACATGTCAATACATTCCGCAATCCAAAATGTCGGCTTCCTTAGTTACAGACAGGGAGATACAGAATTTTACGCTTACTGTCATACAATCAGAACCATTGATACAAAATAATTACATTAGAATACAGGTATCTCTTTTCTAATGCAAAACAAATTCATAATTAAATTTCAATCATTATTTCAGAGTAAAATTTTCATTAAAGAAAATTCCGTGAAAAGATGTTACTTTCTTTGGTCCCTAAACTAGGTGACGTCATAAGTATGCTTCCGGTGTCAAAATAAAAACCAGGCGTTTTCTGGCTTCTTGAATAAAAAAAATTACTTTTAAAAAAGTGTACACGTAAATTGACAAATAAAATGCCAGTTCATAATTTGACCCTTGTCATATTTGTTTTACAGTGGAACTAGTGAATGAACCAGAAAAAGACCAAGACTTAATTGAAATGATGGAGGTTGTTGAAGTTTAACAACAGAACAAAACAAAGAAAAGCCAACTGGGAGGTTCCCGAAACTATCATCTGATGACAAAGAAAATATACTTGATGAGGCGCTTAGTAAATCAACCAAGAAAAACACAAAATATGGAGTGAAGATATTTAGGCGTATGTGTTAAAATAAAAATAAATTGATGTATAAAGATGTGTATATATTTCTTTTCCTCTTCAAAAAAAAATAAGACAAAGAAATGAAAAAAATCATAATCAAAATCTATCCAGCTATCCACTTTCACTGCTTACTGTCTATTTTGGTCATGGAATCCCGTCCATAAGACTAAACTTTATACATTGCAAACGCTAAATGGGTGCAATTGCAAGTGTTTATTGTACAATTTTACATTATGTTTTCGTCTTATATTTCCGCATGCATAAGATTGAAATTTCTGTCCACTAATAATTTCATGAAATTTGCTGAATTAAAAATATCGTTATACATCCCAACATCATGTTGCACAAGTATCTTCCTAATAGTATTAGATGCCTTGAAATCCACAATCAATTCAACTACCAATTATAAAACTTCCTCACTTTTTATAATGGCAATTAGCATACATGTATATGCACATGTTTCATAACACTTTATCTTGAGCAACTGGTCCATTCTATTTATAGATTTTGTTGTTTCAAAAAAACGATATAAACATTTTGATGTTTTCTTCTGTCTCGTCTTCCAATATTGCCTTTTATTTGTATTTCCCACATCCAATTTAATCATGTGTTGTAATTGTATGTTATATGTACATCATTTGCATGCTGCTTAGTTTTACGGAGTTTTAGAGACTTCCATTTTTATCTAGCACCTGCAAAATAAATATAGAAGTTAATTTTAATCAATTTGTTTATGTTAAATTAAAAAAAGAAAAGACAATTACACTACACAATGTTTAATTCTTCAACAATTTACATGCTACATTATACAATGTCATAGGTAAATTTCCCTTGTTTAACGTAAACAAAAGTGTTTTCTTGCATCAAGAACGCATGAAAAAGATTAACAAAAAAAAAAACATTTTTGGTAAAAAATGCAAGTTTTTAGATGAATATTGAAAAAATAAATTGAAGAGATAACTGTATTGTATTTGAAGCTTTGAGGACATCCATCGGTAGTTTTACTGTCGCAAAATGAGTTAACTGTCAGTCTTTACTTAATAAAATTTGGAAAAAATTGCTTTAAATTATTATAAATAGGAAACAAGTGTGGCCTAGATTTTTTGCCACATGCATATAAAGTATAACAAATACATGTATCATAATTCTAAATTTCAGAGTGGTTAACTGATAGATAGAAAGATGCAACCTTTGAAAATTATACAGTTGAACAGTTGAATTGTGCCTTTTAGTTGGTATCCGGGCATCTATTAATAGACACCTTAGGGCACCACCTTTTAGTAAGACATATTCCATCCTGTCTGATGATCCTGCCTTCCTTAAATCAAATAAAATGTTTTTGGCCATTATAAAGAAGGTTCAGAGGGAAGGAATAGACAGGACCAAGCATCACCCATCCATTTCTGAAGGTGATTTGCATAAACTGAGGTCATCTGATGCCTCATCAACTCAAAACCCTAAGACTCTTCAAAGAAAAATCTGGTTTGACCTAGTTTTAAGTTTTGGAAGGAGGGGCCGGGAAAACCAAAGGTTTTTCACTGATAAAACCTTTGTTGTTAAATCAGATGATTGTGGTCGTCGTTTTGTAGAAATTGCAGTGAGTGAGACAACAAAAAATCAAAAAGGGTGATTAGATGACAATCAAAACATTATAAAACCTATGATGTACGAAACAAAAAAGCCTGACTGTCCTGTTGCTGCCATGAAAAAATATCTATCCAAGAGGAACCCTACATCAAGTATATTCTTTCAACAACCTCGAGTAAAAGTAAATGACGAGGACGAGATGTGGTATACCTCAAGGCCTGTTGGGGAAAGACTTTTGAACAACATGATGGTCGACATATCAAAAAGTGCTGGACTAAGTCAGATTTACACCAACCATTGTGTCAGGGCAACAACTGTGACTGTTTTGGCACAATCAGGTGTACCAAAGACAGATATAATGAAAATAACAGGACACAAGTCAGAGGCCAGTTTGGAATCCTATTATCAGGACTCCTCCGAGAAACAGAAGAGGCAGTATCCTGCCATTCTACTTGTCAATTCCGAAAATTGCAGTGATAAATCGGGCTCAACCGCACCAGTGCCAATTTGTACACAGCCCAATGCAATGCCCTTGCCGCCAAACCCAGCCCCTTCCTTCAACGCGCTTTGTTTGAATTTGACCAACACACACATTAACAATCAACTGTCGTTACCTGTTCTGTATAACAAGCAGTTTGAGGTCCATAATTCAACAAAGCCCAAGGGTGTACAGGGTGCTGAAAGGTGTTACAATATCCATATCTACGGATTATAAACGTAGATAAAGAATGTTTCTCCAGTCTTAGTCAGAAAACAGTGGTTTTAAGAGAAATTGGACCACAAAGTGTAACATTTTTTAATTATTTAAAACTATTTTATTGAAATTTGAGAATTTGACATTTTAACTGCACTAACCAATCCAAATCCTAGAAACATGCAGTCAGGGATAAATTTATTTAGTCACTCTCAAACAGTAACCTCCCACTACTATTCCAATGGTCAATATCATAAAACAACATATATACAGGTACATGTATCAGAGCATTTTTATTCAACAAACAAATATATTGTCCGCTCTATGGTCGGGTTGTTGTCTCTTTGACACATTCCCCATTTCCATTCTCAATTTTATATATATTCCAAAAGCCTTTGAAAATATCTCATACTTAAAAATAAAAATTTTGTTTAGGGAAAAACATGCATTATTCCTACATCTTTATTCACTTACATCTTCATGCATTGCAGGAATGATACATGCAGGAATAGGACCTACCCATCTACAAAACTTTCTTGCTGAATGTAATTTGCCATCTATCAGTGAAAACACTTTGAGGAAGAAGGAGAAGGAGCTTAGTAAACAGATTGGGGAAGTTGCAAACAGATCTTGCAGAACTGCACAGGAAGAAGAAAAAGCGCAGAGTAACAATAGTAATGTAAGTTTAATAAATAATGTGTTTAATTGATTAAGAAAAATGAATTTTATTCTAATGCAACATGGTTTGTAACATTTAATTTGGTTGAATAACGTCATAAATTTTAATGGTTTAATGAATTTGCTGGATCCAAACCCGTTCTACATCACAACAGAAGAACAAACATATAAAAGCTTTTTTTCAGTCAGGTTTCATGTTTACTTACTATTTACTGCTAAACTCTAGACCAAAGGGTATTAAATATTGGACACTATGAAAATAAGCCAGAATTCCTCTATGATTTGCACTTATATATCTGATTTGATGTTCTTATATATATAGTTACAGACTATAAAAAGGATTTTAATTGCTCTTTTTTATAAACATATTTTATTTCTACAAATATCCAATATTGATTCATATATCAAAATTATACGTTCAAAAAACTTTCTATAAATTAATTTTAAAAAAAAGGAAAGAATATAATTGTCATTTACCCTGTCTTACATGCTGCCTATAGACTTTCTTTCAAATCTTATTTACATGTATGCATAATACTAGAAATAAAACTATATTCTGGTAGGTTGAAGCTAGTTTTGATGGTGGTTGGCAGACGAGAGGCTCTGGATGGAATTACAATAGTAATACAGGTAAGAATTAATATTGGTATGCATGATGTATAACAGTAAAACCAGTAAAAACCCAACTTAATAAATCCAAACAATCTAGCAAAAATTTACTCTTAAACCTCAAACTAATATTGGAACAAAACAAATTAATGTGTTTTTTTTTGTGTATTTAATAAATATGATTTACCTACAGAAAAGTAAACCAATTTTAGTTAAAATATGAAATGAATATTCTTGTAATTGTATTATAAAAATCAAAATATATACTAGTAGTAATAAGTCAAATTAAGCCAGTTTGGTCCATGGAAGTATCTTAACAAGCAGAAGACAAAAAAAGACAAATCCTACTTTTCGCAAGAGTAACCTCCCCTGTGCCATTGAACATTTCTAAGAACAGAGGTTAATGGGCCTAAATCAGGACATCTGGATTTTAAATTTACCCTTGATTCAGGAATTAATGATTAATTTCTCCGGATCTTGGAAAGCCAAATATTTTATTTTTCAAGAAAACATGGTGAAATTCAGCCTTTTTCTAGTCTATTAAAAATGGATGACACCCCTCATACCTCCCTCTTTTAGGAGATTTTAATAATATAATTTGGTGGTTTCCTATGGTATAATTTGTTAATGCAATAAGTTTGAGGTCAAAGTTTATTTTCAGTGGACTATATTAGTTTCAATGTTCTTTGAACCTGTGTAAACTGTTAACTTAATATATATATATAAATACAAAATAAAATCTTCAGCCATGAAGGGGTTCACTTTAGATGGGTTCATAAACTGCAATGATGTACCTAACTTATAGAACTGAATTGCGGTGAACTACAGTAATTGCTACATTAGTATTTTAATTTTAATCGTATCTGTGTGTATGTCACTCTGTCCATCCAGAATCTGGTTAAAGTTTTTGGTCAAGTTAGTTTTTGATAAAGTTGAATTACGTCACATCAACTTGAAACTTAGTACACATGTGTCTTATCATGTTATCTTTCTAAATTGTATGCCATATTAATCTTCTGACCCACTGAACGTTGTAAATGATACTGTTAGCAGGGCAGCAGAGTACATTGGACACGTACATTTCTTGGAAAGGACTTCTTTTTGCCTCTAACAAAAAAGAATTATGTAAGTGATGCTCATTAGGAAAATGTTTGATCACACAATAAGTACATTTTAACTTTCTACAGGACACTCAACCTTTATTGGAAAAGAATCTGGGAAAGTACTGTCATTTCATTTAAGGAGTAAAACATGTAAGACTTGTAAGTACCACCAATCCAGAAAAGAGACTGTTCCAGATCATGACTGTCAATCAAATTGGCATGGATCAAGTAAAGCCGTGGAGGCTGATATGGCTGTAGCAATGGCTCACAGGTTGAAAGACGATGGATGTGAAATCAAAGGTTAATAATATGTTAACAATAAAGCAACAAGAGTTGTGTTATATGATGAATTAAGCCAAAAGGTGACACTAAGGTATTGCCCTTCTGGTTTTGCCAATGACTTTTGTGTTCACAAATGGAATAAGCTAAAGTTTAACATGAACCAGTAATTCTATATCAATGAAAGATGATATCCACTATTATAATATGCAGTTGCAATAACATTGGATCATCTCTGATTTCATGTCCATTTCATGTCTATGTTAACGAAGCATGTTCAATTGACTGTTAAATGTCTATACAAATTCAACGTTAAAGTTAACTCAGTAAAGCATGAACCATTAACTAATCATAAAAACAGAACCTTGTAAGCACAACTCAATCTTCTTAAAATTCTTAATGATAAGGGTATGTTCATCATGTTTAATGAAAATTTCAATTTGCCAAAACTTTTCTGGTCCTAAAGTTTAGTTCTTTATGTATATTCTCATATTCTGTTTCAGTTGTGCATGCTGATAATGATGCATCAACAACAGCAAGACTTCAAGTTGAGTTTGACAACATTTCAAAAAAGGACCACCAGAACCATGTCAAAAAAGGGATATCTACAAGCTTGCATAATATTTCTAAAAGGTATATACTTCTGTTAATCGACAATTTTGAAAAAAAAAGCCAATTACGGTAGTAGAAATGTTATGCATGTTAAAGAATGGTCATTTGAAAGCGTCTAAAAAACAACAGCACAACAAAAGGGTGAAGTTTATGCCCATGGAGAACAATTTATGAGTTTTCAGTGAACATTGAGGAATCATCACATTCAGAGGTAGATGGTGGATGGCCCATAAACAAACCTGTATACTAACTTAATGAAATAGATGACTCTAACTGTATTATATTTGGTAACAAACAAAAGAACGTCGTCTTTAACTTTTACAAAAATCTTCTCCTCTGAAACTACTTTGCCAAATTAAACCAAACTTAGCCACAATTATCATTAGGGTATCTAGTTTAAAAAATGTGTCCGGTGACCCGGCCAACCAACCAAGATGGCCGCCATGGCTAAAAATAGAACATATGGGTAAAATGTAGATTTGGGTTTATATCTCTGAAACCAAAGCATAAATAGCAAATTTGACAAGGTAAAATTGTTTATCAGGTCAAGATCTATCTGCCCTGAAATTTTCAGATGAATCTGACAACCCGTTGTTGGGTTGCTGCCCCTGAATTGGTAATTTTAAGGAAATTTTGCCGTTTTTGGTTATTATCTTGAATATTATTATAGATAGAGATAAACTGTAAACAGCAATAATGTTTAGCAAAGTAAGATCTACAAATAAGTCAACTTGACCAAAATAGTCAGTTGACCCCTTAAGGAGTTATTGCCCTTTATAGTCAATTTTTAACCATTTTCGTAAATTTTTGTAATCTTTTACAAAAATCTTCTCCTCTGAAACTACTAAGACAAATTTAACCAAACTTGTCCACAATCATCATTAGGGTATATAATTTAAAAAATGTGTCCGATGACCCCGCCCATGAAACAAGATGGCCGACATGGCTAAAAAATAGTACATAGGGAAAAAGGCAGTTTTTGGCTCATATCTCTGAAACCAAAGCCTTTAGAGCAAATCTGACAAGGATAAAATTGTTCATTAGGTCAAGATAAATCTGCCCTGAAATTTTCAGACCAATCAGGCAACACGTTGTTGAGTTGCTGGCCCTGAATTGGTAATTTTAAGAAAATTTTGCAGCTTTTGGTTATTATCTTGAATATTATTATAGATAGAGATAAACTGTAAACAGCAATAATGTACAGCAAAGTAAGATCTACAAATAAGTCAACATGACCAAAATTATCAAATGACCCCTTAAGGAGTTATTGCCCTTTATAGTCAATTTTTTACAATTTTCATAAATTTTGTAAATTTTTGTAAATTTTTACAAAATATTTTCCACTGTAACTACTGGGCAAAGTTCATTAACGATAAAGATAATTGTAAGCAGCAAGAATGTTCAGTAAAGTAAGATCTACAAACACATCACCATCACCAAAACACAATTTTGCCATGAATCCATCTGTTTCCTTTGTTTAATATGCACATAGACCAAGGTGAGCGACACAGGCTCTTTAGAGCCTCTAGTTTATTATACCTACATTATATTCATTGATATGCATAATTTTTAAAGAGTTATCTTCCTATTGCATTTCTGGTTGCTATCTGGTAATTGACTGCTCCATAGGCTTACATGCAAAACGGCTGATCTTTGAAATTTTTTTAAAAATGAAATGC